TTAATACAACAAAGAATGTTATACATATTTCGAAATAAAATGAAAATAAAAGTTTGGTTTAAATGAGGAATGCATAAACAAAGTCACATTCTTACCAAAAAAGAAATATAAAAGATTGATTTAAAAGATTATGTATGTGTTTAGCAAAAGCTGTTACTGTACACAGTTAGGTTAAACTGTATTGCAACTGGTAGAATAGTCAAGGTTGACAAGAGACTCGAAGCAACTGTTGTTTTTAATTATCACAGTGAACAAAGAATTACGGAGACCCAGGGAGTCATTATAATTAGTGACAAGTGGCAAACGGCCACTTTGTATACCCAGTCTATATGTATGCAATTGTAGCTCTAGGCAAGTGACAAAAACATTTGTGTATATATGAAATACCTTACACAACTGGCAATTGTCGATTGTATTTGTATGTTTTGCATTCATTATCATCCCTGTAAGAATTGGGAAAACCAAGTATGATCCCACGGGGATAACTTGAGTCTAGAACGTTACAATAAGCAAGGGTATTTTTACCAGATTTTTTAAATTCTTGGGCAACATTATTTCGTTTATCAGTTTAATTTTGCTTTATACTTCTACGTATCCATTACAGTGTTTTATAATACTCAGGTGACCGTTAAGGCTTTTTGATGAGATATTAATCTGTAATTTTTTTTTTATTAACTATTGTAAAATATATTCACATTTTACATTTTAGAAACTAAAATGATTCTTTTTAAATGCCTTTTGTTGAATATTTACAGCTTGTCACCCAGGCACTCATGGCTATAATTGCGAGAAAATATGTCCGAAGGGAACGTATGGCTATTTCTGTCGAGAGAAATGCAATTGTAGCCCAGGCGTTACATGTGACAAACAATTCGGTTGTAGCGATCAAGGTAAGTTTTTTTGTAGAGATACAGTTACATTGGTTGCATTAAGTGAATGAATATATGATATTTAAGTCCCTTTCCACACATATAAAGACATTAGTTTGTGTAATGAATAGTTTCAAATTAATTTCGCATCTAAATTAAAAGATGAGAAACTCTTACTTCTTATCCATGACGTTTAGCAAAAGAAGGGTCTTTTACATATTTTGTTTGTTGCGTCGCGCTTAACAAAAGTCGAACCCGGTCCTTCGGATCAAGAAGCCCTACGACTAAGCAACAGAGATATTAATTAAAAGGAAAAGGCTGATCCATTCTTATCCAAGTAAGGTTTTTATCATACTTTTTAAATATTGAAAATAAGAAGCTGGCAAACACCATCACAGTTATTCCACTGAAACATTTGATTGAAATCCTATTAAAATTTACAAAATAAATTTCATTTAAATAGTGTATAAACAACATTGAACTTGAAATCATTCTAATGACTGATCAAAAAACAACATCCAAGAGAATCTGATATTAAAGAAGGAAATTGAAATATTTGTCACAAATACAATGAAATATATATATGAATAAAATGATAAAAATATGAGCTTAGTAAAACCGATTTTGGCCAGCCAAAAAGTTCATGAACATGACATAAACATAGCAACTCGTAAACTGTGTCTCTAAATGCCTTACAAAAACAACCTTTATTTCAATATATGCTTTATGAATTTAAGTATTATTAGGCTCCTCAATTTTGGAAGGAGCTAGATTAACGCGTGCAAGATGTGAAAATTTGATATATAGCTTTAAATCTATTAAAAGTTATGAAACCAAAATGAACTTTCCAAAATCAAACCGTATTTTTCAAAATAAAATACCTTCGAGTGCCCAGTAGTCGTGCTCTTAAGAGAGTATCAGTGCTAAGTACAAATTAAATGAAAATTACGGTTATTTCATCTGATATTTTACCTCACCGTGTAATTGTCTAATTTTCTTGTTATTAAAAATATTTCTAAGTGCTTTATCAAATTTAATATCGGGGCACAAAACAAATGAGATTTCCGTTGGCCATATTTGTTTTGGACCAATAGTTGTGCGCTAAAATGTAGCAGCAAGTATTGGGCCAAGAAAAATGAAAACAAAACAAAAACAAATTTCAGGTGACTAAGATGTTATTCTTCAAGGATTCAATTTAATCATTTTTAGAATTTTTTTGATTTAATTAGGTTTACGATGTTTTTGTAAAATAAGTCACAAGCTTTTCATCACTCTTTATTTACAAGCATTCCTACGTAATAATTACGAATTTCAGTATAAGGACAATAGCATTTTTATGAAGTCAGTTTTTAAAATTCTTGACAAAAGAGAAAAAATGAAATACCCAGTGACCATCATGTATGATTATGCTAATTAGCCATGTGCTCGCCGTGTCCATAGGTGGCGTTTCCGTGTAGGTTGAGTATATATTTAGCAACTTTAAAAAGAGTATTAGCAAAATGGCGGCTTTTATTGATGCTTATGTTTATTTGATTAATTAATAAATTTTTCCTCTGCGTATTTAATTTTTTGTTTTAGAATAGGCACTTTCTTCTCTCTTCTTTGAAAATCAGTTGTTTTCGACGTAATATCATTGCACGTGACCAACTTTTGACAACAAACAAAATGGTGCACGACTACTGGGCACGCACTACTATAGGACCCTCGACCATAAATAAAGCAGCCACACTTCAAATCATTATACAGTATTTATCAAAATAGAATAAAGCAGCTGCGCTAGTGATTTGTTTTCTAGCTTGCCCTCCTGGATTGTTTGGCTTAAATTGTTCACAACATTGCCCTGTTGGATGGCATGGTTTATTTTGTAAAGAAAAGTGTACCTGTGAAACTGACTGTGATGAAGAACATAACTGCAACATCTCAGGTTAGAAAGCAGATTATTCGGCCTCAGTTTGTAGTATAGTTTGAATTTATGACATGTATTATTAAATGTAAAAAAAAATATGTAGAAATTGGAAGCAATACTTCGAGATATGAGAAAGAAGAGTGATCATGTACTGTTTAACAGTAATCATATTCAAAAGACTATTGATGCAATATAAATATTGAACAAAGCAAACACGGACGTCTATCAACTTCAGTGTAAGAGCATCAGTAGGAAAGCACAACTTTTTTACCAATCACATCCGCTTTGTGAGCTGCATCCATTTCTAACTAATATTTTGAATTGTAAGAGAGGAATTTGTGAAGGTGTGTTGACAAAACCTTTATCTCTTTTTTTCTAACCTTACATGTCTCGAAGCTATCTTCGATCTCATTAGAATTCTCAGACATGGCCATACATTTATTTTATTCGCTACAGTTTTGGAGAAAATAAGAGTAGACGCTAGCTACGAAAGATGTTAGTTTTGTGATTAATTATGTAAAGAAAGTTTAATTTGTTAAGATGTAATTGTCAGATTACATTTTTTAAAGAAAAAAAATCTTACTTGTTAAATGTGTAGAGCAGTTTTACGAGAGCCCGAACCCTCACTTAGTATTTTAGAACCAAAAATTGTTTAAATGTAACCGATAACAACCAAAAACCAAACAAAAAAAAAAAAAAAAAAAAAAAAAAAAAAGAAACCTACAATGTTTTAATGTAGAATTACCTGGGGCCGCATAAATGATAATAAAAAAGCCTCTTTTGAAAATTCAAGTTTAATTTTTTATAACCTGAGTTTTAAAAAAAGTTAAATTAGAGGCTTTCTAGTTTTCCTGGGCATCCGACCTCAAAGTCTGCAAAGGCAAACATGTATGCTAATATCTTACTACAGAGCATAGGTTAGTAAATATACAAAAATTAAAACAATGCACACTATTTTATGAAGAATATGGAGATAAAAAACAGTATTCAATATCAAAGGCCAACAATACAAAATACAACATGTAGGAGCAGAGCAGAGCAAACACGGACCTCTAAAACATCAAAGGTGGGATCAGGTGCCATGGAGGAGTGAGCATCCCTTGCTGACCAGTAACACCCGCCGTGTGTTCGTTGTCATGATCAGGAAATAACGGAAAAATCGGTCGTCAATTCAGTGAATGAATAATGAACTAATAATGAGTATGAAAAACGTCAGTCGGGATTTGACTCAATGATAAACATGATAAATTGCTTTTGCTGACAAGGTCATTGTATCGACCAAAGAATTTACGAAATGCTTATTTCGTGATAGCATCAAAAATATTGATTTTGAATTTTTTCACTTGCACAAGGATAAACGATCGATCATGATCAATATTATGCCACTCTGCTTAGTGCATTTTAGACCATTATTGATTTCACTTGGGTAATTTAAAACAAAATGATAATTAACGAGCGTCATAAATATTTTCACTACATATATACGGGATGCGCAACCCAATCCGATGGTGCTAGGTTTATAACAATGCTCTGAATAGGGATATTCTATTTCCATCAAATAACAGGAGTTTTCAACTTCCTGTAGTATCTTTGAAATTTACATACCGCTGAAAAATACTATAAACCAATAAGAAATAAATAAACAAAATATATTTCAATAATTTCAAGTTGTTTGAATAAATATTTTGTGTCTGGCGTCGTTCAAACTATACGAATCCATGATTTTATGATTGGACGATGATTCGTTTGGATAGCCGAGGTAGCTTTTCCTTTCAATTTTTATAAAATAGGTCTCGCAGTTTTCGCTGTATAATCTCACTGCACACATGCCTATTTGGTTTCTATACTAATTGTATCAGAAATATTCATCAAGCTTTTTTCGTTTTATATAGAAAGTGATCATTTTACTCAGAACTCTTTATTAAAAAGCATTTTAACCCTGGTTCTTGTGCACTTTCGGAGACCGTAAATTAAGTTCAACCTAAAAAAACCCAATTTCTTTTTAGGACAAGTGGATTTTCATATCTAAAATTCAGGTATACATTAAGTATATCTTGAACCATTCATTTAGACAAAAACGCCATTGCCTACGAAGTTTTTGTTTAAATAAACATTTAAATAGTCATATGCTTCGTACGTTTAAATTCCAAATTTGAATGTTTCTTTGCATTTCGTTCTATTAATATTTGCGTTGACTTTTTTTTATTTTCAGGTTCATCGGAACCGTATAAAAGATATCAATTTGAAATTTTGATTTATACCCTAGCTCCAATTATTCCAGCAATCATATTTTGCCTGATGATAGTCTTTGCGGGAAAATATATGCAACAAAGGTAAATGCATTTCCTTTTGTGAAATAATAATTACTGAATTGTTAATTAATGTTACATTTTTATTTATTGTATAAATTTATTCTAATTGCACTGCTAATTATAACATACCTGATAAAGGTTGTTGCAGAGATGCATACATGTAACAAAGATTAAGGCAAAAACATTTTGTAGGAGTATCAAAGGCATCGGTGAAATGAATGATTTAATTGATTATATTGAAGACATAATAGTAGATACATGTATACGTATTTCTATTTATATTATGATTTAATATCACTAAATTTTAAAATACAGGTTTAGGCGGAGAAAAACAACTACAAAGAACTTTGTTGGTAAAATTCATGATAACTTTCAGCCATTTTTACGAGGATTTTAATTTGAAATACTTGTATTTTTCAAACTATAGAGCTAATTATCCAATCCTATAAATTTAATGTGTTTCTGATTTTTTTTTTGTGTTTTAAAAGATATTCCTCCGTATGACATAAGTAAACACAGAATGCATCACTCGAACGGCAATCTTCAGAACTCAGCATATTATAAAACAGAAACTGAAAATTATAGTACCATAAAAACAGAAGTAGACGAAATCAAATTATCCGCATTTAGTCAGGAGGAGAAATTCGATGACGGGGTGTATAACAAACTAACTCTCCGTGTAACCGGATATGAGGAACCAATCGCACGGAAACAGCTCACGAGGAGATATTCCGATTCCTCGTCGACATATATGAAAAGTTCCGACTTCAGTTTACGACGAACTGAGGAAGTACACAATCCCTTCCAGAAACACAGAAGATTCTCATCATTACGAATGAAGAACATACATAAAGAAAACACTGGCGGTGAAATGAATCGTTTACATACAATGGAAGCTGGAGAACGTAATGTATGTCTATCTTCAACGAAAAGTGAGGAATGCTTTCCTTTAGCGTTAGATGGGGAATATGTTTATGATATGGCTAAATTTGAAGAACGTAATGAGACAGTAGGTCTTAACCACAGGCTGTTGTTCCTCAAAGAGTTATCATCTCATCTTCTAAATCAAAAAAATAATATAAAGAAAAATATGGAGATTCCGGAGTAATTCAATTTCTTTTCTTTAGTTTTTGTATTTAAAGATTGATACTAGTATACACATTGTACAACCTGCTATTTTGATCGTAAGTAAAAATACTGTTACATATCACAGTACATATATGCTAAAGAGTCTGACTTTGAAAACCTGAAGAATTCTTTCTTTAAAATTTCAAGTCCCTATATATACCTAATAATTTAATTCTTTCTAGTTCTTACATATTCTTACTGGTAAAATGATCAATATTTACCTGTACATTCCTTATTTAACGGGTCTTTCAGTCTTAAAACAAGTATCAATGCTCAGTGACTATAAGTCTCATATGGTTATGTAAATAACATTCTACATTAAGATAAACATGTGTAGTGTAGAAAGACCACTGATTATAAAATGCGCACCGTTATTAGCAGATTTGTTTTTGTTTTTTATATAAAAGCAGAATTTATTAAAAGAAAGCGTTTCTTGTTGCTTTCAAGTCTATATTTAGTTATATCGACGACGTAATCATTTGACAATGAAAGCTACTTCATTCATTTGTAGGCCCGATATATTCCTGTAAACTTGAAATGACAGTAACCACAGAGGCTGACACATTTGTTTCATATGTAGATATTTTACTACAGAAAACCGTTAGGGTAATGCTAACAAGTTAACAACTAAATGTAATGCTAGCGTGATGACTAGTTTTGTTTTCATCCCAAACTTTCCCTAATATAATCCATCAAAAAACTAGCTCAGTTGACTTGGCTTCGGCCTTTCATTAATAACAGAGGAACATAATATACAATATATCCTTACACCAATACATGTATCTGGGGTTTTATTTCACATTCGATGCACAAAAGCTTGTTAAATGTACGTATGTTTATTAATTCAGACAAATTATTGACAAACAATTTGATGAAAAGTCTCGTTTATAAAAGTCTAAAACTAAATTGTTTAAGGATTTCTCTGTCACAAAAATGACAAGGGACACGCGACGCGTAATTTGTAGGTAATGGAATGCTTTCTCTTTCCTCACACCTGCTCACACCCCTGCTGTTTTAAAGGTTAGTGTTTGGTCCATTTCTTATTTGAATTGATTTGATGGACTTTTAGGCTTAAGGTCATTCCCTATCTACTTATTATTTTCATATCTTTTATATTAACTTATTTTAACGCTATTTAAAGCCCTTCATAGATTGGACACTCCATATAACATTTATATTAAAATTTCATAGAATTTTCAGAATAAAGAAAAATTTGCAACTTTTACAGAAAAAATTGCCATTTTTAAAATGACAAATGCTCATATCAAAAGAGTTATTTTTAGAAACTTACAGATAGAAGAATCGCCATGTTAAAGGTTGCATCGCCCGGCATACCAATGCTTATTAAATAAATAATTCATTAAAACAAAAAAAAATGGAAAACATAATCTAGGATTTATGCTATTGATAAAAGAGATTATTCTTTATTCAAGCCAAAATTGGTCAAATTCAAATTCAGGTTTATATTTAATGGCCTTAGTCCACTAACTCCATTTTCACATTCCATACGTAAAGTTCGGAATAAAATAAATTCTTCAGAAGAAAAAAAAACTTATTTTATCCTGAAACCGTCATATTAATCGAACATGTTTAAGGTAAACATTGGATAAAATAAGTATAAACACCTATAAATATGACTTTGTATTTTGGTTTCTATTTCACAAAGGGGATATATTTGATAACTGGAAATATTTTCAGTACAATCCAAGCATGTCTTACGTTTAAAGTTTTAATCTAAAATTTAAGTGATCCATTACTATCTCTTAAACTTTAGATTTGAATTTCTAAAGTACCATATATAAACTGTTGTTAATGTAGAATTTTAATTGTGACTCTTCTGTTCTTAAAAGATTTTTAGACATTAGAAAACAATGTAGAATTTATTAGTTTTTAAACACTTTAAACTCCGTTTCTTCCTTTGTTGCATAATTCTTTAAATCTTGTCATATGGCTCTTGTGAAGGCGATGGAAGTAGAAAAATTAGATGTGATGAAAAGGGCTGTATGGTACCATGAATAGAATACAGAGGAAACCGGACGCCAGGCAACCTTTGATTCGAAATGCTCACTTTAGAATTTAAAAAAAATGTAGAAGATGGGCTCAAAATGCAAAGTTCATTCGGAAAAGAAAATTATCTGTCATCATGTGGTCTAGCTTTCAAAATTTGAAGTGGTAACTTGAAGTGAATTTTAAAAGGATACAAGAAGGATGATTTCACTTTAAATTAAAAGGAACTTTGAATATGATATGTACATTTTATGACGTCTTGGTTTTAAAAACATGAAAAGATAGGTACGGAATATTTTTTAACACTTCTTGATAATCATATGAATAATCTATAGAACAATTTCGAATTCAATTTTTTAAATTAAAAAAAAGTCAAGATTAATTCAATTTCCAACAGCAAAATTATTAAATTAATTTTCAATACTTTTATTATATTTCCTATTTGTATACTTCCCGATTTTTAGTATATTAATTGTACATGACTGTATATATAAAGTTACATTTCATTTAATTGAACTAAAATTCCATAAAAACGAACACAATGATAAGAATAAATATATCCTTCTACCTGGTAATAACTATACATGTATTAATGGAGGAACAAAAACAGTCAAGAGTGAAACAGGGGTGTGTTCCATCTTGACAAAGTAAGAAATTTTAAACAGATAATTATCTATAACAGTTTAAAAACAAACAATTTAAAAAAGAATGTTAAATAAAAAGAAATAATAAATAAATAAAACAAAGAATAATAAATGTTATTATCAAATATTTTTTTTTCATATTTTATCAACGTTACCCAAATCTCGTGACTTTGACTGATAAGTCATGAGTTAGTGAAATCTATATGTCGATACTCCACAAGAATTTAAATAAAAATCTTCATCGTCTCCCTTGCACAACAATAATAACCTTGATTCTCCTGTGCATTGAAATCATCAGAGCATTTATCTTTCTCATAGAATTGTTCTTCAACCAATGGTTAGGAGTAGCTGTAACATTTTAAAGCCAACAAATCCCCCCCCCCCCCCCCGCCCAACGAATCCCACGAATTTTTGATTTAGGATAGAATTTACAGAATCCAGCTGGTTTGGTACATGATAATGTTTGTCAAAACTCGTCAAAACTGGCTACTTTTTCCCAGTCTGAACATGCTTAAAACACAACGCATACGACGCGTACGTGTGCGTGTAAGTGTAAAATTGACGTAAAGTCGCCAAGCTCTCGGACCAAATTAGTGCAGAAGGTTTCTGCCAGTTTTAGGATAAAAATTATTAGTATGATTGTCTACTGTATGAATGTCGGTTTCAGTGATAATGCCTCGACGATAACAGAGATGGCATGATGAAAAACCCTACCTTGATGTGACGTTGTTACGTGCCAACGTCACCTTAATGGTTGGTTAGAATCTCTTCAAGTTACTTCCTGACAGCCGAAAAAAAACTTTTTGGTTGAAAAGTTAAAAACAAACTGCACAGCAATATGTTGTTGTCTCTATATACACTTATGCAATTGAATTACCAGACCCAATGTAACTTCCGACAGCCATACCATGATTGCAAGAAATTTATACTGACTGTAAATATGCAAAAACGATGTCTATCATTCAAATGTATCTTTTGGCACTACAGATTGTGATCACAAAATTGTCAACATCAATATGAGCGTGTATTTGGTTCTTTTTTCACTTTTCCCACGTGACGCCATAAATTTCATGATTGAGTAGTTTTGACAAGTGATTTGAGTGCAAAGTAACCAAAAGACACATTTGACGAATCACGTGATATAGCCGGTCACGTGACCCCATCCGTAGCGTTCTGTCACAAAAGCTGAAAGATTTTTCTGAGTTTTATATTTCTTTCCATGTAAGTTAATTTTTATAACAAGAACAGTTAATTTGCCAGAAATGGTCAATTCTCTGCAACAGAATGGGTGGATAACAATATCCTTTCAAAAAATAAGCATGGCGACCATCAAAACTCAAATCTTCTGCTGCGGGAGAGACGTTTATTTAAGGCGGATAGAGAATGGATGTCTCCTTTTAATCATATCTAATATGTTTAAAATCTTAAGTGAACGATATCTTAGGTATTTAATAATTATATTATTTTTGAAATGTTCAGCTATTTTTCAAAGTGTAAATTGGAGGTCTTTGATAGTTATCTCGAAAGAATAAGCAATTGCAAATTCAGAATGGCAGTATCTATCATGGCTTTGTTTTGTTTAATATAGGGTCATTACATAATGAAACAATGCTATAAAAACAATGGACAATGATCAAGTATTATTGCAAGTGTCAATGAGTAAGCGCCGATCCTCAATCTGGCATTTGGCGCATACGGTTTGCAGAAACGAGGAGCCATATGGTGCTGACGACCCTAGAGGGTAAGCAGAAGTTGCCAGCGATGGTTTGTTGCAAATTCTGCCAAGTGGATTGCTGTACGTGAATATCAAGACAGCAATCCATCCGCCAACAAGTGGTGGACAATTTGGCAAGCAAGCCATTATGTCTTACGCAACTCAGTGATTCACAAAGCAATTCAAAACAATATGCAGGGTAACAACAATGGTCAATGTGGCAAAGCAATACAGTACAACACAACAATGCATCATCAAACATGATTTTTTTTTTTGGGGGGGGGATTATTATAGGGGATAAGAAATGCAATTCAACTCGATACAATGGTGACTACTATAAGGAATAGGATTATGGGATAGTGTGTGGGCTTCTTTTATAAGCCATGCACAGATACTGTAGTTTAGGGGAGGATAGGGAAAACTTTTTGACTGGAAGTCATAAACTTGGACAATGCCGTTTGAATTGTAGTTGTAAATATAGAATTTCCAAGATCTGAAAAATGTACACAATCGAGGAATAACTTGGGCTGATCAATTTTTATATCTGGGTGACGTATGAGAGTCCCATTTAACTTCTGCACAACAAAGCAACCAATAGAATTATTAATTCTTTTTCTAGCTTTCTCTGCAGCTTCGCTTGAAATCATGTAACGCCAGTATTTGCGAGGAAGTATATTTGACCATACAAGAAGAAAGCTAGGTAATTTTTTATGAAGAGAGGCTAATAATGACTTCATGGCTATTTGTAGTTCTTTAAGGGACTGAAGGCCAATACTGTTGCCACCACAGTGAACTAATAGTACTTGAGGCATGATTTCATTATGACAATTTAACAAACTGCTGATGTGTTGATCAAGTTGCTCCCATTTTAGCCCCCCTGCTCCAGACCAGGTTATATCTATCTTAAGGTGCTCCAGAGACAAGTTTTGGCCAATTGTTGAACGTGTGCAGTAATCTTCGGCTCGTTTGTTAATGGAAGATCGAACAATCCATACCTTACAGCGAGTTCCTGCAAACTTAGCTTACAGTTAGTAAGACTGACTACCTATAAGACTATATTACTTGGGCGAACATAAGACTTAAAAGCGTTGGATTTCCATCTACCCATGGTTTTAATTTCTTGCTCTGGAATACCTTGCATATATAATGCAGGGGCGTACTTTTTTTTCCAAATCTTACTTACACTATAGGAAATGTTAATTCCAAGCCTGTTTGCCCCCCCCCCCCCACTTTTAGAAATGTACCGAAAATGTAATTTAAGAATTGGTACTAAAAGTAGTTGACACTGAAAAAAAGTGTTGATATATCAAGCTTGAGGAATGATAGAGCTTTCTTTAGTATTTGATTGAATTGATAGTAGGTCAAGGGTGAGCCGTCCATGTCGCATAAGAACTGTGATGTTTGAGTTTGTGATGGTCTATGGGCCATGAATTCTAGTATGTTGTGGAATAGGACCTGATTTTGTTTTGTGCTATTAATTTGCATTGTTGTGCCCTTGCCATGCTGATCTGTTTTTGTTTTCCCTTATGTGATCCGAATGCATGATTGAGATATTGATACATTTTCTATTGACAATGGGGAACTGCAGGAATTTGCCCTAGTGGTAGTTATCTCACCGACTCTAGAAGAATGCAAGGCCATATACAGAAGAGAAGAGTAATTTTTCATAATAACTGCGGCAAACGTGTTGCAAAGAGTCTATTATCTTGACTAATAG